ACCAGATGCGGCATTAGTTTCTTTGGATCAGCTCCGAACGTGGTGGACACAAGCTTTGCAGGATCGCCCGCTTGAGGATCTTGAGTGGTCGTCTTCGCGAGGGCCTCTTGAGCGAGCTGCTCTTTGTGTTCGCAGGATTGGTTGGACAATCAAGCAGTGGGACGTCTGGCTTGACCATCGCGGAGTTGAAGTGCCATTGAAACAATTTACACCAGGTGTTCTGGATAAGCGTATGATCGAGTCATTACAGAGACAGTTGGAGCTCGACTTGGCCGCTAAGAGAGGGCTACCAGCTGGCGCGCGATCAAGTTATGATATTCTTCGACCGTTCGTGAGAGAGAAGTATTCGAAATTCACCTCGTACCAGAAGTTCCTGGTCAGATCCTTTGCGCTTGGTGGTATATGGACACGAGAGCGTGCGAGATGCAAGGGCTACGAGACGGACGGTCGTTGTGATTGCGGAGCTCCATATACGGTACATCATCGTTTGTTCACTTGTATGAGGGGTGATATGGTGGCTGCCAGAAGCGCTGCTGAGGTACCACCTGAATTCATCCAACGCGGTATTGATGAGCAGGACTCGGAGTTATTTGTGCATGGATCGTTTGACTATCTTGGCAACGATATTCCGAAGTTGGCACCTGGTCATGAAGCATACGTTGTGAATATGGCCGGCGAGGTGCAGGACTTGAACCCTGAGGAGATGGTGGAATCTGTTTGTCCAGAGGCGCAGGTGATTGAACTTGCTCCCGATGGTTCTTGCAGCAAACCTGCTCTTCGAGATTTACAGAGGGCTGTGTGGGAAATAGCATTGTTGAACCCGTCTGGCCCAGATCCGCTTCTTGCAGTTTATGGGGCTGTTCCTCCCGCTTTGCCCCAAACATCAGATGTTGCTGGGTATATGGGACTGGCGTTCTGCGGCCAAGTCGCAGATCGGCCTGCAACCATGTAGTTTGATTTCCTTGGCGCAGTCTTCGGGGCGCGGAAGTCTCCTCAGCGTCAGAGAGAATCACGTTCCATTTATGCATGTGTTCAGGTCTTTGGTCAGAGCCTTCCTGGTCGTGAATATCTGACAGCAGCAGAACATGTGAAAGCACGTCGCACGAGCGAACAATATGCTATGCTAAATGTTGAACAGAGGAGAATAACAGATGCGAACATCGCTGCTGACAGATTCGCGAAGGTGGCTGTTTCTCTTCACCCCGCTCCTCATCATGAATTCTGTAAGCAGATTGAGCTGCACGAGGAGGCGACGAGGTACCTCGTGCGTCTAATATCCACCACCTTGCCCTGCTACGAGAAGGAGGAGAGGTGGAGGAGGGCACCGATATTCAAGAGGAGTAGAAACGTGAGGACTGAGGGACATCATGATTGGTGTAGGACGGAGTTAGGAGTTCAGTGTAAGTATTGCCTCTCTGTTCTGCACGACAATGCTGTCGATTGGCCCTTAGTGGGCTGCAGGGGGACCCCAGCTTTCCTCCGTGCGTTTTTCGCTCGGCCGAACGGCCACTGTCTTGTTGCCGTGCACCAGTCTGGCGAACGGTGCGAGTCGGTCTCGGATAGCGTGGACCGACCTGTTTTTGTTTGTACGAAATGTGGAGCGTGGGCCCAACAGAGGCGCCGTCATAAGTTGAGGTCCCCTTGCATCAGGCCGACGCCCAAGGGTCTTGAAATTCTTCGGAACCTGAGGCGGGGCGTCGGCCCCCATCGTAGGCTCCAGCGTTCAATCGATTCTGTGATCCCTGCCGACCGAGTGGCGCCCACACGTCGCGTCCCTCGGAGAGAGACGACCAGTGTCTCTGCGAGGCCCAACCCAGCCTCCTCGTATCAGTACGAATCACGGCTGGCGGCACTCCAGGAGAGAGTGCGCCAGCGGGAGCTGGCTCGATCACAGGAGGGCCCAGCAGGTGGCGCAAGCGGTAATGGGCTAGATTGAGCCCTATGAGCGCCGCCCTGCTGGGCCGAGTCGTTAGTCACGAGACTGGTCCGCCTCGGCGTGCTTCTTCTTTTTCTTCCTCCTCCCCCTCCCTGGCGCCTACCCGCCTACCCCCTCTTGCACTTCCCGGAGCGGCAGGGAGGGGCAGGGACAGAGCCGAGGATCAGGGATGGAAAGAGGAGAGACAGGGAACCTCGGGACAGGGCACGTCTACCAAGGAGAGGGATGAGGAGGAGGAGGAGGAGGAGGATAAGCGGGAGCAGGGAGGACAAATGAGGAACAGGAGTGGCGAGGTGGGCGGCCGCTGGAAACCATCGTTTGCATCTAGGAACCCATACAGCACCTCCAACCACATTGCAGGGCAAACGTCATCAGTTGGGGTTGGGCATTTGAGCGACGCAGAACAGCGGGCTCGTCTTCACCGACAGTTGGCGCGCGTAAAGTGCCCCCCGTGAGGTCGCACGTGAGCGCTCTCGTCCCCACGCGGTGTGCCGCGCTGGCGGCCTGCGTAAGGCGCCGCGTAGGGTCGCCCTGCCATCTCGCGTAAGACCCGCTTTGTTGTGTCGCCCACCTGTGGACCGCCCATTGGTATTAAAAAAGTCACGGCGCCAGAGGTATTGCAGCCCTTGCCAGTCGGGCGTTGCGAAATGGGCGCGGAAGGTGCACGAGTCGTCGCCCACACAAAATTATCAGGAGGGAAGACAGACACGCACGTACGCACGCACGCACGCATGCACGCACGCACGCACACACGCGCACACACACACACACACGCGTACACACACACACACACACACCCACACCACACACACACACACTAACGCAGATCCGCCTGTGTGCCTATCCGCCTGTGTGCCTCCATGGGGCCCTTGACTTCATCGCCCCCCATAAGGCAGCGCTGGAGCCCCTGCCAGAGCACGGATCTCCCGCCGCCCCGCCCTCCCTCCCCCCCTACCCAGGAGCGGCAGGAAGGCGGCAATGGGCGGGGGGGTGTTCGGGACATCTTCGGGGGGCAGCGTTTTCAAGGCTTCTCCTCGTGGATGCTGCGTCGTGTTGTGTGTGGTGGTCCTTCTGTCTCGCGCGCGCTCTCTGTCTCCTCTGCCTTATGGGAAGACCTGGCAGCGCGGGCCCCCGCTCCTGCCTCGGAGCCGCGTGTCCGGCGCCACCAGGGCGGCAGGCGGAGGGCTGGGCCCCAGATTTGCAGTCGAGACGTCGAGGTGCAGTTCGGGGCCTCCTGGATTCGGAGGTGGGTAGGCCTCCTACCCTGACACGTCGATTAGCGAACTGGCCGTTTCGGTTCGCGAGAGGGCGTCGCGGCCGTCATTTTTGCGGGTGCAGGTCCGTCTGTGTCGGTCCTAGGCCTTTTTCACTAAAGGGTGGTTTACTGAAGGGAGGTTTGTCCACCGCCGAGAGATGGGGTCGGAGTGGATGGGGTCGGAGGATCGCACCGCATCGCCCTTGTATCGCCGATGCGACTCGATGTGGAGCCCGATTTGCTCCATGTCGACGTCGCCGATCCATCGCCCCTGTCGACGATGCATCGCCGATGCATCGCCGATGTATCGGCGATGCGGCGCGATCCTTCGACCCCATCTACTCGGACCCTATCTAGGAGGCCTCTAACAGTGCAGGCCCGTGCCAAGCAGCACCCCGCTTGCCTCCAGGGCGCCCTGGGTGTCTTGGGTTTCGATGGCTTTGCTATGGAAAGCTTGGCGTTCCCGCGCCAAAAATCAGGGGTCTCGATGGTTTTGCGATGGAGAGCGTAGCGTTCCAACACCAGAAATGAGAGGACGTCCTGAGGTCTCAGGGTTGGGTGTATTGTGGAAGGCTTCTTGTGGACTGGCCTCCACTGTGGGGGCCGCTTCGAGCTCTGGATGGGGCCCTCGTTTGGACCGCTCCCTGGGTTCGGATTGGGGACGCGGTTCGTGGCCGAGGCTCGCCGTGGCCAGAAGAGCCTTTGCGCTCCTCCCTTAGCGTTCCTTGTGGTAGCGCGATGACTGTGCATCATCTGCGCCCGTTCGGTGTCCGGGCCCGTGCGGTCTGAGCCGGTCATGGCATAACTTCGGGCCGCCTTGGGGTCTGAGGTGGTCCGGCCTCTGCTCTGGCCAGCAGGGCAGGGGGCGATGCGTCAGGTGCTGGACTCGAGGCGTCGTTTTGTCTGGTTCGGCCTCCGGGGGCAGTTCTCGGGCACCAGGATCAGCAGAAGCGATGAGCCACTGCACCGGATGGACCCCGGGAGGGGTCGGGGGGCAGATTTTGCGCGGCTTTGGCCTCGTGCCCCCCCTGCTGACCGTTTTCTCGCGGGGCCCATCCAGCCCGGGCACCCCGGCCGCCTCCAAGGTACAACCACCCAGCGTCGTGGAACAGCACGCGAAGGTCGCAGCACGCTGAGAGAGTCAAAAGAGAGACGACGGCAGCTGAGCATCCGTGATTCGAAACGGGATACAGTCAACCCGCGTAATAGGGATGGGCAGCTTTCTCAAGGGTAACCTTGCATCCTTGCCCCCATCGGTCCATCCTTCGCCACGTTCGTTGGCCGCGCCCCGCTAGAAGAGCTTCGCATTGGGCGTCCAAGGCCCCTGCATCCTTATCGCGCATCCTTACTGCACGGGTTGACTGTACGAGCAATGGCGCGTCGGTCGGAAGAGCAGGCGGAGTCGTTGAGTGGACCTGGGATCGGGCCCCTTCGGCTGCCGAGCGGGCCGAGTCCCACCTCGGGAAACTGAGCCCGCCCGGCGGCCCGCTCGGCGGACGGCCGGGCTCCGACGCCGAACGGGCTCAGGAAGGCAACGAGGATCGGGGGCTGGTCGAGGAATCGAGGAATCGAGGATCGAGGGCTGGTCGAGGATCGAGGAATGCAGAGGCTCGGGAGGGGAGGGCGAGGAGCGAGGATCGAGGGCTGGCCGAGGATCGAGAACTCAGAGGGTCGTGGATCGAGGATTCATGGCCGAGGATCGTCGGCGGCGGCGTCGGCCGCCGTCTTCTTCGCCGCCGCCAGGGCCGCCGCCGAGGGCCTCCGAAGCGCCGCCGAGGGGCCGCCGAGCGCCGCCGACGGCCGCGGCAGGCGCTGATGGCCCTGCTGGGCGAGTGCGGGCGCCAGGCGGGACAGTTCAAGACGCCGGCCCTGTGCAGGAGAGCCGCCGCACGCGACGCTGCGCCTCGGCGGTCGACGTTGACAGCGAAGGCCTGCAGAGCGACGTCGACGACGGCGTTGAGAGCGACGCCGACGACATCGACGCCGATGACGCTGCTACCGCTGGTGACGACGACGGTAACGACGGCGACGACGACGACGACGATCACGAGAAAGTTGAGATCCTTCAAGGTTCCCGCGTTTTCGGAAACTTGGGTTCATGTCGTCAGAGCAAGACGTTGCCATGCCATCCGCAGAAGACATGCTTGACCAGGGTCAACCTGGGCCCTAGCAAGGTGTATCAGACCCTCCTGGCATTGGCCACCGTGGCTCATACACCATGCCCGTGTCCAGGCTGGCACATCTCGCTTCTCATGAATATGGGTGGCCTATCCCCCCCCCGTCGCAGCCTCCTCCGCGGCACCTGCGTCGCGCTGCGCGGCGACAAGTACGCCGCCATCTCCGCTGAGGCCGACGCGGCGGCCGCCGCCGCTTCGCCGTCGTCGTCGTCGTCATCATCGTCGTCGCTGCTGGCGCCGCCGCCGCGGTCGCCGTCAGCGTCGTTGTTGTCGCCGCCGTCGCCGTTGTCGCCGCCGCAGTCGCCCCTTGACGGAGTTGCCCCTGGATGTCGAGGTTTTGGTGGCCGTGGAGTTCAGAGCGCGCAAGCGGGGGGGTGGTTACTGGTTGTCAGGAAATTGTCCGGCTGTAGTTTCTACAGGAGGTTGTCGGGTAGTCGTCACGGAGAGGGATGATGAGGATGGAAAGGGCGTCTGGGTATTAGAAGGAGGAGAAGGAAGAGGCAGGGATGTTGGGAAAGGTGGGAGTCTTTGGGGGAGTGAGAGGAGGAGAAGGATGAATTGCAAACATATGTTTGAGCAGGAGGAGCTGGAAGGAGAGATGGATGTGGGAGGTCGAGGAGGAAGAAGTGAGGGAGGAGGGCTAAGAAGCACGGGGGAGGAATTTGGAGGAGGAGGAGGATGATGAGGAGGAGGAGATATGGGGCAGGAGCATCGGGATATGGAAAGAGAGAAGGGAGGAGGGGGAGGAGGGGGAGGAGGGGGAGGAGGAGGAGGAGGAGGAGGAGGAGGAGGAGGAGGAGGAGGAGGAGGAGGAGGAGGGGAGGGGGAGGGGGAGGGAGGGAGGGAGGGAGGGAGGGAGGGAGGGAGGGTGGGAGGGAGGGAGGGATTTTTGGATTGCGCTGCTGATGAAGCGTATGGCCTGTCAGCTAATGGCGGCGCTGCAGCTTGCAGAGGCAGTCAGCACAGTCAACTCGTGTGGCTGTGCTAAGAGGCGAAACTCGCAAACTCTGCACGGGCACCTGAAGTCAAGTCAGACAGTAACTTCCTCCAACCAACCTGCCTAACCCCACGAATCCCACCCAGTCCCATAGTATTAACTACGCGCGCAACTGGGTGCGAGGCAGCCATGTGGACGCAGAGCGTCTGGCACTAGGCGGCAAAGGATTGAAAGTTTCAGCCGTGGCCAGGAAGTGGCGGCGGACAGGGTGGGCAATCCTGCACGGTTGCTCTCGGCGTATCCCTGACAGCGCCAGAACATCACGCTTCACAGAGATGTACTCGCTGACTTAACCCCTCCACAAAGCTACCAGCCACTCCCACACCCATCCTTATCTGCAAGACACAAGCAAAACAGGCTGGCGGCAGGCGGGGGCTGCGGCGTGCAGCCGCATGAGCGCCTGGCTGGCGACGCGCGGCCCGACTGACGCTCGGGGGTTCGGTGCCACACGCAACGGGTGTGTGGTTAGCGACGGACTACGCTCACCGAGCCCCCTGCCGCTGCCCCCCACGGGCCAAGGCTTGAAGCTTGACAGTCGGGCAGTGACAGAAACGCGAGGGGGCGCACCTCTGTCCAGGTTGACGGCGGAGAGAGAGCAGGCGAGCGGGTGGCAAGCAGGCGGCGGCGGAAAGAAGCAAGAGAGGCAGGCACATGCCTCTCTGATCTCAGCACGTCCGCCCAACCTGACATACCCAACCCCCTCCCGAATACATGTTGCGATCTCTTCGACCGCTGTCAGCTCTCAGAACAGCTGCTCTCAACGACTTTACCTCGGCGAGAGCCGCTGTGGGGTGGGGGCTTCGCGAGTTCCTTTCGGAGCGCCCACTATGGCCTGCCCCCCTCACGGTTCGACCCTCGGTCGGCCGACCAGGCTGACACTCGAGCTGGCGACAGTTGCGCGCGTCAACTGCTTTCAGTGAAACCTGTTACGCACCGTCTGAAATTTAGTCTCAGAGAGAGAGCGGGCAAGAGGGCGGGACAGCACATGCAGGCAGGCCGTGCACAAGAGAGAGCAAGAGAGGCGGGCTGCCGCTCTCTCTGACTGTTGCTACACTGCCTCGCTGCTAATACCTCCAACTGCCCGACCTACCAATCCCAGCCCTCTCCCGACTACACGATGCGGTCTTCGCGACCGCTGTGGCTCTCAAAGCCGCTGAACTCAACGACTTTACCTCGGCGAGAGCCGCTGTGGGGCGGGGGCTTCGCGAGTTCCTTTCGGAGCGCCCACTATGGCCCCCTCCCCTCACGGATCGACCCTCGGTTCGGCCGACAAGGCTGACGCTCGAGATGGCAACAGTTGCGCAATACGACTGCTGTCATTATCTGAAAAATCTGGTTTGAGAGGGAGAGAGGGCAAGAGGGCGGGCCGGCACTGCAGGCAGGCCGAAGCGATGAAAGAGCAAAAGAGGCGGGCTGCCGCTCTCTCCGCTTGCTGTTACCCTGCCCCGCTGCTAACACCTCGACCAATCCCCCAACGTTCCCTCCATACTACAAAAATCACCTGAAACTGCGGCCATCGGATACTCCTGGAAACTAAAGGTGGCCGACAGACACACATCCATGGTCCAAGAGAGGCTGTCTGCAGCAAAACTGATCCACGTGAAAGTCAGGCCTGCTGTGGCGCAACTCTGGAGGTCAGACGACTATGGAATGCAAGCTCATTCAGCGGACGTGATTCCCGCTCAGCTCGAAACTGGCGGATGAGCTGGGGGTTATCTGTATACCACCACGGGGCTAGCCAAACGAGGAGGGCACGCACTAACCATAGCACCAGTCACAAGGCAAGGTCTTAGCAAAGCTCGAAACACTGGCAACATAGGCGGAGAAATCAGAGCACGTCCACACAAGTACCCCACTGTCAGCCTGCTCGCCTGTCACACCCCAAGACGGTGGCCCACCCAAGTGCCGTGTGCTTGGCGCGGGTGACTGTGAGCTTCTAGGAAGGTGAGATAAAAGAGGTAACGCAAGGCTCGAAAGACGAAATAGTTGTGAGAGCAAGGCCAGGGCTGACAAAGTGCCTGACTGAGATGCAATCCGTACCCATCCACCACCTACACCTGAGGCCCTCCACCCAACATCCTATTTACTCGTGCGCATTATCAAACAGCCCTACCCCAAAACCGGGTTGGAAAGTCCATGGGGCTATTCGCTGGGCGAGTCGAATCCGACGTCGCTCTCTAGCTTGCGCACGCTTGGCAGCAATTAGGGCACGCAATTCTGGTGTGAGCTCAACGGGCTGCGGGGGCGGCGGGGGAACGGGTAAAGAAAGACGGGAGTGAGAGAGCAAGATAGCCAGGGCTGACACAGCAGCCTGACTAGATCAGTGCAATCTGGAATTGGGCAGCGCGGCTGCTGCTGGGCCTCGGACGCCATCCGAGGTGAGTGTCAGTCGGCCTGACTGGCGCAGCACCAGTCGCAGGCGGGCCTTGAGACGGCTCAGTGGCAGCCCTCTCGCTCCCCGTGGCCCGCCCGCCATGACACATCACCCCAGCGTCGACGTCGCCCCCTCGCTGCCCTCGGTGGAGCCAGCGCGGCCGCCGCACAGCATGAAGCCATCTGGCGCTTCGCGCCGTGGGCTGTGGCTGCGGCTGTGCCTCTGGCGGCGGCTGGCTGCACCTGCAACGGCATCCTCTCCTGCCTCTGCGGCGCGGCCGTGCGGCGACGGTGGCAGGGCGCCGCGGCCGCGGTGACTGCGCGCACCTGGCCGCGCTGACGCCTGGCGAGCCAACGCGTCTCGCAGTCCCTGCTGGCCATCAGGGCGACGTGCACGTTCTGCAGCCTTCCTCTCAGCACGCTGAGCTGCCCTCGCCTTGCGGGCTGCCTCGGCCGCGGCAGCCGCAGCAACATCCTCCTCGGCGCTGACTGGCACCTCGACGGCGTCGGCGGCGGCGGGTCCAGCAGCGCCCCATGCCGCCCCCACGGCGGCGCCCGCAGGCGGGGGCCCCCCCTGTGGGCCGCGGGCCACAGGTGCGTCGGCCGGCACGGGGTAGGCCGCGGCAGGAGCCTCAGGCCTGGGCGCGGGGGCCACTGGCCCCAGGCGCTGGGGGGGCCCTGCAAAGGGCCGCACCTCGGGCGCAGGCGCGTCGCCATGCGCCGCTCCACCGCGCGCCGCCGCCATCTGACCCTGCATCGTCGTCAGCAGCTGCGTGAGGCCGACGAGCTGCTGGGTGAGGGCCGCCTGGCCAGCCTGCAGCTCCGCGATGGCCGCGATGGGCGGCGCGCGGTCGGGCGGCGTGGCTGGGGCTGCATCGCCCTCAGCGCCGGCCACGGGCGTCGGCGTGATGGGCTCCTCCATCGGCTCGTCGCCCGCGGGGACCATGGCCTCGAGCTGCTCCAGGAGCGTCTTGGCGCGGCCGAGGGCCTCGGCGCGCTGACCCACCTTCGCCTCCAGCTCCGCGAGCTCCTCACGCGCCCGCGCAGCCGCGGCCTCGGCCTTCTCCAGCTTGGCCTGAGCCCGCTGGACGAAGCTGCGCTGGCGGTCGCATCGTACGCCAGTTGGGCGGGCCAGGATGATCATGCTGAGCTGCACGGCGTACTCCTCCTCCTGTGGCCGCCTCTGCTCCAGACTCATGCCGAGCTCGATGGCAGCCTGCAGCCTCTTGCCCGTGGCGGCCGCCATCTGGCGCAGCGAGCGCCTGTGGGCCGTGAGCCCGCGCTCATCCGACGGCGGCTCGACCCAGGCTGGGTGTGCCCGCGCGTCCGACGGCAGCGCGGGGAGGATGCCGAGCGCGGGGCTGCGGCCGTCCTCATCGCCATCCGATGCATCAGATTCGCCTCCAGCAGACCGCCTCCGTCGGCCATCGCCGTCGGCGGAGCGCTGGCGGCGGCTCGAGGCCGACCTCGGCCGCGGATCGCCTCCGTCGTCCTCCGTGCCCTCGTCCTCGAAGCGGACTCGCGAGGCTGACCGCGGCCTCGGCTCGGCCTCGGGCTGACGTGCCTCGCCCTTGCCGCCGCGGCGCCGACGCCTCGAGGCAGAACGAGGCTGGCGGCCGTCACCGCGCGGGCCCGCGCGCGGGCGCGCTGTCCCTCCTCCGTCTCCATGCATGGGACCATGCTCGGGAAGAGGGAAGCAGGTGCGGCGCAGGGCGTCAGCAGGGCCGTTGAGTCCTCCGCACGACGGGCACCGCCATCCAGGCGGCGGCGGCGGCACGGCCCACGGCGGAGTGCTGCCACTCTGCCCGCTGTGGCCGCCGCCCGCACTGCCCTTGCCGCTGCCCTTGCGGCCCTGGCCGCCTTTGCCCCCGCCTCCGGCTCGGCCTGACATCAGCCCGTTGCTGTGGTGCGCACGCAGCCTCGCAGCGGCAGCGGCGACGCGCAGCAAGGTGCGCGACTGCGTGCGCCTCTCGCGAGCGCGCCTGTGCCAGGCGGGCTCGCGCACGCGCAGCCGGCGCCGCGCCCTGCTCGAAGCGGGCGCCCGCGCCGTCGTGCGCCCGCCCACTCTGGGGGCGGCGCACACCGCAGCACAGCAGCACGGCCGGCCCGCACGCCACCAGCGAGGGCGCGGGCGAGCGCGTATGGCCGCCGAGTCCCGCGAGGGTCGCAGGTATCCTGGATACCTGCACCCAAAAGCCTCGGGCCGGGACGGCGGCTTGGGAGGGAGGGAGGGAGGGAGGGAGGGAGGGAAGGAGGAGGAGGAGGAGGAGGAGGAGGAGGAGGAGGAGGAGGAGGAGGAGGAGGAGGAGGAGGAGGAGGGAGGAGAGAGGGCGTTCTGGTGAGGCGGAAGAATAACATGGGGGCGAGGGGATGAGGGAGGCTTCGGACGAAGAGGCGAAGGAGGAGGAATTGCAGAAGGAAGACGGAGGAGCAGGGGCATGGGGAAGTGGAAGGTGGGAGGTAGGAGGTGGCGGAGGAGGAAGAAGAGTGTAAGGAGGAGGATTGAAACGGAAGGGCAATGGTGGAGGAGGAGAAGGAGGAGGAGGAGGAGGATACGTACAGAGCAGGAACAGGAGGATGAAGTCGACGGGGCTCTGGGCGCCTCCTGCCCTCCATTGCCCCCCTGCCGGAGGCCTCCAGAGGCAAGGCCAGAAGGATAGCCTCGATCTTCGATCTTCGAGGGGGAGGGGCAGCGATGGAGGCAGCGCTCACGGCGAAGACGGCGGCGAAGACGGCGGCGAAGCCGACCACGACGGAGAATAAGACCACGATGAAGACAACGACCACGACGAAGACGCCGCCGACGACGCCCGCGACGGGGACGACGAGGACGAAGACGGCGAAGGCGATCAATCACGACGGAGACGGCGAACATGGGGACGAGAACGAACGCGACGCAGACGACGGAGACGACGACGACGACGGCGAGCGCGGCGGCGGCGGCGGCGATGACGACGACCTGCGCGGCAGGTCGCGGCGCACGCCGAGCGCGCGGGCGAGCTCCTCGCCGCGCGGGTCGGCGAGCTCCAGCTCGGAGACGCCGCCGCCGCGGTCGCCCGCCGACGCGGCGGTTGCGGCGGCGCCGCTGGCGTCGTTGCTGCCGACGCGGTCGATGTCATCGTCCCCTGTGATCCTGGCGTCTCGATCTTTGCGAGCCGGGCGTGTTCGCCTCTGCGTGGCCCCGGGACCCTCACAGATCGATCCGGCTCGAAAAATGGCGCAGAAAAATAGGTTCTAGGGATCCTGGCGTGATGTTTCACGAGGTCGCATTTTTTTTCGTTACGTCGGATGTCAGGCTCATGTACACAGGGGCGCCTTCGAGGGCGCGAAGTTGTTCGCGTTTCGCAATTCAGCTCCGGTTCCTCGTTCTCGTCTTTTCGCCCCTGGGGGGTGGGGGAAGAGGATGAGGATCATCGAGCACAAAATAATCCCAAACCCCAATAACACGATGGAGACGCGGCCTCATTGAGGTCCCCGTCTTCGCACTAGTGTTGGGCGGTTTGGTGTGATACATCCGCAGAAAAGACCCCATATCCATAATGACTTTGGTCTTCTTAACTCTGGTCCCCTTCCAAAAGCTTAGGGGTACTTTTCTGGTTAAATCAGAGGAGGAAGCAGAGCCGAGCCGCGAAGTGGCGCAGAGCCCTACCGTTCAGGGAGCACAGAGACGCTTGCCTTGGCAAGTCCCAGAGCTTGCGCCTCACAGCAGCTTTACACATTACCGTTTTTCGAAGAAGAATCAGAAGAAGAAGATGACGAAGAAACGGCGCACACACTTTTTTGGGCGCTCCACGCCGATTCCTTGGATCTGCGCTGGGCCCTCCCTGGGCGGCGCCTGCGGCGCCGCCCCTGACGCGCTCCGCCCGTTCGCTGGAGTGACCTTTGGTGCGGGCACAGATGGGTCCCCATGTGGCTGAAAACGAAGCAGTAGCAGCTGCTTGCGCGCCCAGGTTTAGTCCCCCCTGGGCCCCCCAAAAAAACCGCGCACCGAAGGTCACTCCTGCCCAGGGCCACTCTTTGCGCGCAGCCGACAGGAGAGCTGGAGGAGGTGCACTCCGCGATGCAGGGCTGCCCTGCCGAGCTCCGCGGCCTCCGCCGTGCGGTGGACGCGCGCCTGGAGCAGCAGGACCGCCCCCTGGGGCCGTTTTCCTCGGCGGGCGCGCGCCTGCGGAGCCAGCGGCCGCCCAGGTTGACACGCTGCGCCTTGGAGGGGCCTCGCCTGCCCCCCTCCTCCTCCTCCTCCTCCTCCTCCTCCTCCTCCTCCTCCTCCTCCTCCTCCTCCTTCTCCTCCTCCCCTCCTCCTCCCCTCCTCCTCCTCCTCCTCCCCCTCCTCCTCCTCCTCCTCCTCTCCTCCTCTTTCCCTCCTCCTATCCTCCTCCTCCTCCTCCTCCCTCCTCCTCCCTCCTCCTCCTCCTTCCAGCTGCTCCCCCTCCTCCTCCTGCCTTCCTCCTCCTCCTCCTCCTCCTCCTCCTCCTACTCCTCTCCTTCACTCCTCCTCCTCCTCCCTTCCTCTCCTCTCCTCCTCCTCTCCTCCTCCCTCCTCCTCCTCCTCCTCCCCTCCTCCCCTCCTCATCCTCCTCCCCTCCTTCTCCTCCTCCTCCTCCTCCTCTCTTTCCTCCTCCTCCTCCTCCTCCTCCTCCTCCTCCTCCTCCTCCCCTCTCCCCTCCTCCTCCTCCTCCTCCCCTCCTCCTCCTCCCTCCCCTTCCTCCTCCTCCTCCTCCCTCTCCTCCTCCTCCTCCCTCCTCCTCCTCCTCCTCCTCCTCCTCCTCCTCCTCCTCCCCCTTCCTCCTCCTCCTCCTCCTCCTCCTCCTCCTCCTCCTCCCCCTCCTCCTCCCTATGCTCCTCCTCCTCCTCCTCCTCCTCCTCTGGAGCTGAAGCGTTTCTGTATGTAAGTTCGTCTCGCTTCGTGCTCTCTTCCTGCTCGCTCCGTGTCGCTCCGTGCTCTCTTCCTGGCGGCCGCGGGTTTACTGACTGACAGGTGGATCGGCTGGTGATTGTTGCGCTATCCCCTTTCGCCTCCTCCTCCCCTACTCCCATTATTCTACCGAGGAAGCCCACGTACTTATATGATGGCTGGAGTGATGATAGCTGAAGTGGAGCATGTGATAATAATGTTGATGGCCGTTGCCCCGCCGATATTGTTGGTGACGCCAGTCAAGAGGAGAGGAAGGAGAGTGGAGAGGAGATAAGATAAGTCTTTTGTTCAATACACGTGGAATGCGATCTGCGGCGCCCACGATGCAACGAACACTATGGAACGCGATCTTCGGCGGAAAGCCTCTGATCAGATTTGCGAGAACGAACCTCGGCACCCATCTCTAGCATTGAGTTCTTGAGCTGCTCGCACGGAGGCGGCAGCGCGGACATGGCACAGTTGGGCGCCACGACGGGAAGTCACCTTGTCTATGATCACCCTGGGCGGCCAGAGAAAAAAACATGTCTATGTCCTCTGCCGTGGCGGCAATCGCGGGTGCGGATGGAGGAGGGAGGAGATGGAAGACGAGGGAGGAGGAGGACGAGGAGGACGAGGAGGAGGAGGAGGGAGGAGGACGAGTAGGACGAGGATGAGGACGCCAAATCTGCCCTCTACGCAACCCCTGGACGACAGGCTCGGATAGCGGCCGCGCTCACGGACCACCCCCGTCGCACTTCCTGTGGTGTCGAGAGAGTGCCACGCCCGCTCTGCCCTGGACGCCTGGCTCGGATAACGGTCGCGCACAGGGACCACCCCCTGCGCACCCCCTACGGTGTCGAGAAAATGCCACGCCTGCTACGCCCTGGACGACCGGCTTGGATGGCGGCCGCCTCTTGCGTCCCCCCTTACGGCGTCGAGAATATGCCACGCTTGCCACGCTTTGCGAGCCCGCCAGGTGCGCGTGGGGGAGGGAAGAAGGAAGAAGAGGAGGAGGAGGAGGAGGAGGAGGGGAGGTGAGGGAGATGCGGGTGCGACGCGGCAGGGAAGAAAAGCAGAACCCCACGAAACATGTGGGGAACAAAAATCATGTTGTCTTTCCTTGTGCACGACACTCGGAGGAGGAAAAAGGTTCCCTACCTCTACCGCCCCGCCCCTTTTCCCTGTTTTGGGCCTCCTGGGAGGCCCTCTCCGCCAGGGCTGGGTTCGCCTCGAAATCCTGTCAGAACTCACCCCGGGAGAGGTCTGGGGGGGTAGCGGTATCGGTACCTTGTGGTTTCCCCAGACACGGCTCTGTGCGGATTCGACGCGGATTCGGTGAAGATTCGACGTGGATTCGACACGGATTCAACACGGACCCGACGAGTCCGACACGGATTCGATGCGGATAGGGCCGCGCCCGGTCAAACGAGGTCTCCCGAGGATGCAACACATTTGTGAGCCACAGTCTGCGGTGAGCCCAGTGGGTATGCGAGAGGCGGCAGGCCTTCCGGAGGGGTTGCCTTGGGCAGCAACTCGTGCCGATGTTGGGACTCAGGCGGCGACCTCAAGGCCAGCCTTGGGAGCACTGGGAGCCTCAGGCGGCGATCTCCAGATCAGCTCCTCCTGCATTTGGACCGCGTTCGGACCGCGTCGGGCCCTTGCTCCTGCTCCTCCTCGCCCTGCTGTTCCTCCTCCCTCTCCTCGTTTTCGTCGTCTCTCTTGAGATGGGGTGACTCCGGGGACCGGTCGCTCCAGGTTGAACGCAGCCGGTGGCCCGAAATCGGTCGACATCGAAAGATCGGCGCTGCCGATCGGAAAGCCGCGATCGTTCAAGGTGGGACGATCCACGCTGTGTCAGGAACCAAGACCCGGGTCGTCACGAGACGAACGTGCCGTACGCATAAGGGATACAGTCAATCCGCATAGTAAGGATGAGCGACTTTACAAGGATACCCTTGCATCCTTCCCCCTCGGCCCATCCTCGGTCGCTCTCGCTGGCCGCACCCCGCTCGCAAAGTATCGACATGGCCTTCGAAGGTCCTTGCATCCTCGTCGCGCGTCCTTGCTGTACGGGTTGGCTGCAGTGCTCGTGAGGCGTGACGCCGGTCTGATGTTTGCGGCCCTTCGCGGGCCGCAGGGCCGTGGATGGCACGAAGCGGTTCGGGACCAGAGCCCGGTCCCAGGGGGAGGTACCAGCATAAGTCAGGAGCGGAAAAAGGACGTACATGTACATGAATCCACGCTGGTTTCGAGAGTTCGCATTGCGCAAATGTTCGTATGACGCGGCTGGTCTCGCGGATCGAGGGGCCGTGTTCATGTACATAGCTGGGCGCGTACGTCCTTTGTGGGCTCCCTAATAAGCACGCGTTTTTTTCGACGGGTATCCATTGGTAGATCTAGTCATGACTGGCACTACCATGTCGTCGTCGTCGGTGGCGGCGGCGAGGTCGTTGTCATCAGGGAGTTCGCCTTCGAGGTCGTCGTCATCGTCAGCGTTGATGTCGTTGCTGTCGTCGTCGTAACCATGCTGAGCGGTTGGCATGGGCACTTCAATCAGGTGTCGGCTCCACCGAGGGAGGCGGTCCCACGATTTACTTCCAGGGTAGCCATCGACCTTCCTCTGATGACCCCTCCCCCCGGCCCGAAAGGGCGCCCCCCCCACCGTCTTGGGAGGAGCGCCCGTCGTGAGTTCGATCGTTTTGTGAGCGACACGGAAGCTGCCTGCAGGGGGGAAGGGGGAGGGGGAGGGGGGCGAGCGCGCGCGCGATGTGATGCCAGGGTCCAAGGGCAGGGGTGTGGAGGCGAGGGGCGGCAGGAGAAGAAGGAATTGGGGCAGGGAGAGGACAGGGAGGGGGGAGCAGGACGAAGACGACGCGGAGGCGAAGGGCGGCAGGGGTTGGGGGAGGAGCGGGAGGGGGAGGTCGAGGCGGAAGGGAGAGGGGGGGGGCTTCCTGAGAGAAGGGGGGGCGCAAAGAGCGCACTGCATGCGCAGGCCTCCCCGATCCGTGCCTGCACTGGAAGCCAGGCGATCGCAAGCATGGATCCAGGCGGCATGGATTAGCGTAAAGTCGGGCCTGTCCCTCTACAGGGGGAATATTCAAAATAGTCAAAAAACAGTCTGGGGACTATTTTTGTTTGCATTGTTTGATAATTTGGATGTATTTTTGAATATTTTTATTTTTCGTCGCAAATTCCCCTGTAGGGGGGCACGCCCGACTTATTCTTTGCACTGGAAGTCAGGCGATCGCAAGCATGGATCCAGGGGGCGTGGATTAGCGACGGGTCCCGTTACCACGGGAGATCGTTGATTTCCGCCGCCGAGCCAGGCGGCTCTGGCCGCATTTCGGGAGGCCCCCCCCCCCCTCCGATCCATGGGTTTGGCGACCGCGCGGCGCTAAACCCGTGGATCCCCGGCCGGGCGGCTCTGCGCCTGTCCTGCGGCGAGGCCCGGTGCGCCGACTGAAGAAGCGGAGCGGCTCCCAGCTGGCGGCGGCAGCCGCCGCGCCGCGCGCGGGCGCCGCGCCCGCGGGCAAGACCACCTGCAGTGTCGGCAGCCCCGCCGCGGCCGGCTGCGCGCGCGCGCGGGCCTTCGGTCGGAGGACGCCGCCGGCTGTTCACCGAGCGGGGTGCACTGCTCGTAAGTCGGGCCTGTCCCTCTCATTACAGGAGGGATATATTCAAGAATAGTCAAAAAGTTGTCTGGGGACGATGTTTCGACTCATTCTGATTATGTTGGCTATGTTTGACCATTTTTTGGCTCTTTCAAATTTGTCTTCCAAAATCCGCCTGTACAGTGGGGGCGCGCATCAAGAAACCAGATGCTTTTCGTCAGGGTATCCCGGGGTTCTTCGCTCCTCGCGCTGCGCGGCGACTTTCCGCGGCTGTTGAAGGAGCTGCTGCGTTCAGGGTGCTCCGGGTTTCCCCTCCGGTGCACCTCGCGCGCGGGTTTTCAGGGTTGGGTTTCTTGCGGGGGTTTCTTGCGGCCGCGCTCGCACTGTAGGGGGACATGCCTGACCTCACACTACTCGCGAAGTGCCTGTTCGCATATGTCCGAGAACATACACGGTTGCTGCGATGTGGTGGATCGTAGATCGATGCCCTGCGGCGGATCCCGACCAACTGCGAGCAGCTACGGCTGGCGCCTTCCAAGAAGCAGCCTCCTTCTGCGAAGGCTTTCCAACCCCTCCTCCCGTGCGATAGTTGTGCGACGATGCGGCACTGCCATGCAGATGGGCATTGGGAGCCACTTGCCCGGAATCACAATCACTGGATGAGCACGGAATCTGTCTACGCCCAGGCATCCAACCGAGGCGCCCCGTCGCACCCGCCGTTCCCTACACGGGACGCCCCCCCCGGCGACATCGGCGCCGCTCCGCTCCGCTCCCCCTGTACCCCCTCGTGCGCGCCGCCAGTTCTGGTGGGAGGAGGCCCCCGATGCGCCTGCATCGACCACAGCCATGCCCAGGCCCGACCTGGGCCCCACGACACCGCCGCGTACGCGCCCCCTTACCAGCCTGGAGCGTATCTCTCTCCATGTGCTGGGCACCTCCCCATCACGATGCCAACCTTAGGGATTTCCCTTATGTTTTGAGGGCGCATCCCTAAGATTGTCATCGCCTTTTGGCGTGCCAATCTTAGGGATGGGGATAAGTTCGAGGCCGGTACTCCAGATTTCGTAATAAAGGGAGGGGGGTCTCATTTCAGGGGGGGGTCTCTTCCAGGCTATCCTGGAGGGCCTGGGGGGTCTGGGGACGATGTGTTGGAGGGGTTCTCCCACGGGGGAGGTCTGAAATGGCTTGTCTTGGAGGGTCCAGACCCCCTCCCTTTTCTTACGACATCTGGAGTAGCCCCTGGCTCGGCCCGGAAGCCTGCGCACCGCTCCGGGGCCCCGCGTGGGCGCGGCCAGTGGCGGCGTGCGCCCCGAGAGCCGGCGCCTCGCCCGCGGGAGCCTCACGGCCGGAGCCCTGCAGTCCCCGTGGTGCTGCGGCCGTGCTCGAGCCGACAGGGGGCCACACGCGAACCCGTTTTTTTTTTTTTTTTTTTTTGATTGTTTTGTTTTGTTTTTTGTTTATATATATATATATATTTATTTCGTCGAATTGGTCGCCCGCGTGAGTCATGATGGCTTCGGGGGCTGCTACTCTGAGCGGGAGTGTGGTTGCCACTCAGGCTCTCGACTGAAACGCCCGCTCCAGCTGGATTGCCGCATCCGCGCTGCCGGCGCGCGGCGTGCCTCCGATGCAAGGCCAGTTCGACTGGTCGCCAAAGCCGCTTCCCCTCAGGGGGCTATAGAGCCCGTGCTTTGGACCGAAACGGTGCTTTGGCGATTTCGTGGGCCGTTTTCGGTTCGATGTCGTTTTGCGAGAAGGGCGGACTGGAGACAAGACGAGGGAGAACGAAAGCGAAACGGAAACGAACAACGCCGTTCAGGTTCAGCCCTGGGGAAGACGACAACCCCAGAAAAGATGGAGCATGTGGGGACTCCTGGGATTGGTGTGCCAGGGCCTTAGCGTGCCCTGGAAACGACAGGGCCGTTTTTTTTCTGGTTCCGTTCTGCCGTTTTTGTTGCCGGTTCCGACGCCGTTTGTTTACCGGTTCCGTCGCCGTTCTTTGACCGGTTCCGGCTCCGGTTCCAATCCTGGAGCCGTTTTTGTTGTCGTTCCCGGTTGGTGTTCTTTTGCCGTTTCCATTTTCAAGGGACATTTTTTGGGAAACGGTGAAAAACACGGCCTGGTCGTTTCCGGGGCCCCACGCGAGCCCTACCCCTACCCCCCACGCCCATCTATCAGACCTATCACTCTCACCTCCACCCATTGGACTCCAGAATGCACCAGACCTCCAAAAATTCTACGCTTCTCACACGCTTTCATCCACATCGACCGCCAGTCCCAGGCCGACTACCGACGGCTCCGGCCCCCCCGCGCCGCGCCCTCCCAGGGCCGGTCCCGCTGGACACCGTCCTCGCGCGCTCGCGCGCTCGCCCGCCCCCGATCGACCCGCGAAGGCTCCCGGGGGCCCGGAATGTGGCCGACGGACCGCCCGGAGTGTGGAAGATCGGGCCTCGGAGCGTGCAGTGCGTTCGATGTCTGTTCATGGGAGCCTTGGGCGGCGACATTGAAATCAGCTTTTCCTGTATGTGGACAGCGTGGGGGCCACATTTGGCCCATCTTCCTGCTCCTCCTCTCCCCTCCTGTTCCCTCTCCGCCTCCTCGTTCTCCTAGCGCTCACGAATCCAGTCCAAGTCTGGTCCAAATCCGGTCCAAATGTGTTCCAAATCCGGTCCAAATCAGGCCCAAATTGGACAGTGCCGGGAGCCACGCAGGTTCCCATGGAACGGACACCGAAAGTGCGCTCGTGAGCCGATGCGGGCTCCACGAGACGGAAGCCGCGCCCCGACGGCGCATCGGCAAGGAAAATTGCGGCAGTTGGCGGCGTGCAGGCACAAGCGAAACACACAGCTAAACCACGCCTCGAGGATCATCGATGGCGCTGCAGGCGGGTCGCCTGGCAGACCATGGGAAGACTCTGTACCCCGTGGGGCGCGACGCGAAGACCTGCAGGCACTCTCGGAGCGTGCAGTGCACTCGTAATCCGATCCGGGCGCCCGTGAGGCGGGCCGGCCTGGGGCGTGCCGCCACTCCCTAGACTTCCGTCGGGCCTGTCCCTCTACAAGGGGAATGTGCGACTGGGGACGATGGTTTGATTGTTCTTCGAGTCTTTTTGGGGGGTATTTCTGTTGAGTATGTTTCATTTCTCGCCCCAAGTCCCCATGTAGGGGGGCACGCCCGGCACGGCGCAGCCTGCCGAAGGAGATGGGGGAGGTCGAGGCGGAAGGGAGAGGGGGAGGCTTCCCGAGAGAAGGAGGGGCGGGCGCAACGAGCTCGCTGCAGGCGCAAGCCTCCCCGATCCGTTCTTGCACTGGACGTCAGGCGATCGCAAGCATGGATCCAGGGGGCGTGGACTTAAGTCGGGCTTGTCCCTTTACAGGGGGGAATCTTCAACATAGTAGAAACGTAGTCTGGGGACGATGTGTTGGTCATTGTTTGAGTATCTTGGGGTGTGTGTTTTGAGTATTCTTTATTTCTCGCTCAAAATCCCCCTGGACACGCCCGACTGGACCCTAGAGACCTCCAGAGGCGTCTCGAGGAGGCACGTCGGCCAGCCTCTGCGAGCTCTAGGCCTCCAGGGGCCGGCGGAGCAAGCGTACAGCCAAGACGCTGAACTAAGGAACAGTTTGGGTTCGGAAGGGGCTCGATGTTCTGTAGGTTCCTCCAGTGTTGTTCCTCTTGCCCTCCTGGGGCACGGAGGCGCTTGCAGGGCCAAGACGGGGCTTCGTTCCTTTTTTAGCGTTCCTTCTGTCAGCGGCCCGACTGGAGCGCGGCCCGCGACGAGCAAAGACTGGGCCGGGTTCGGATGCAAGTCTTGCGAGGTAAGATGTTGACTTTTCTGGACGCCCGAGATGGGCACCGAAGGAATGGGTACGATGCCCAACAGCAGTTCTTGTTCATTTTGAACAAGATCCGCTGTCCACGCCGCCGCGGCCTGTGTCCATTCGAGACAGGAGGCCGCCTGCCCAACAGCGTCCGCTGTTGGTTTGGGGCAACATTGGTTGTTGGGCATAGTGCCCATTCTTTCGGTACCCATTTCGGGCGTCCAAAACTTTGCCCTGATCCGAGATCTGGTTTCATCTTGCTCAACCCGGCTGAGCACGGCTTAGTCCCGCTCTATCTGGCGGCTTCATCCCGCTACATCCGCAGCCTCACCCAGCGCAGCAGCCCCCCAAGGGGGCTCAACCCTCCTTCAACCTTCCGACGAAGACCTCCCAGCGGCTGCCTCCCAAGAACTTCCTGTGACGAACAACAACTATCCCGGGGAGGGCGCCGAGAGTTTTAGTGGTCCAGCTCGTGTCGACAGCGCGCCCGGGGGGGGTGAGAAGGAGGGCCTTCGCAGAAGGCTCGGAAGTCCCTTGGCCTTCTGAGACGTTTCCTCAGCCTTCCCCGCAGACACAGAGAATTTCTCAGAAGGCTCCGGGGCTTGTGAGAAGTCCCGCCGCCTTTCAGAAGGCCTTCTCCTTCTCACTTTCCCCCCCTCGCTCGCCGCCGAAATCAAAGAGCGGCCCGCGACGAACAAACACTATCCCGGGGAGGGTGCCGAGAGTTGTGGTGGTCCAGCTCGTGAGCAGGAGTACGGCGTGGGCGGTCTGGGGCGCCGCCTTTTGCCGCCCTGTCGAGGGGCTGCGTCGAGGCTCGCCCGTGGGGGCCCGCGGGTCACTGCAGCAGCCGCCCACGCCGAAGCAGAGCTACCTTGGGCATGGCGTCGATCCAGGCCTCCCGGGTGGTGTCCGAGCAGGTGGGGTCGGAGGATCGCGCCGCACCGCCGATACTCGGCGATGCTCCTCGATGCGGAGCCTGCTTTTCCCCACGCCGACGGCGCCGGTGCATCGCCGACGCATCGCCGACGCATCGCCGACGCATCGCCGATGGATCGCCGATGCATCGGCGATGCGGCGCGAAGACTGCCCTCTGGCCAGGCCCGTCCCGAACCCAGCGG